GGATATGTCCAAATTTGCTGAGAAGTTCAAGAAGTGGGCTAACAAGTCCGCTCTATCTGATGTGGATCTTATAGAAAAGATTCGCCGCATCATGCCTGATAAAATACTGCAAGTACATGCAGGGATGAACGAGAAACAGTGGCCTACCACATGGGAGGCTTACCTCGACTGGGACTTGGACATTGAGCGACGCATGAAGCGTATGTTCACAACAAGCTCGAGGAAAGACCCCAATGCTATGCAGGTAGACGAGGTAAAGAACACCGGCAAGAAGAAGAAGAAGGCTTCGACCAAGGGGGAGGTCAACGCTACAGACAAGAAGGTGTCTGTATGCAAATATTGCAAGAAGGAGAGAAAGTTTGGCCATCGCTGCGAAGAATATAAGAAAGTGATGATCAAAGAGGAAAAATGGAAGGAGCGAACAGATGGAGGTGGAGGAATGAGAGGGTCCGGACCTGCGGTGCAACGTCAAAAGAAGTATAAGACGGTTGTCAGATGCATCGAGATGCAGGTCACGGATGATGAAGAGGAGGAGGCAGAATCGTCGAGGCTCACCATGGCGTGAATTCGCGAAGTAGTCACGGACGATGAGGAGGAAACAGACCTCGAGATGCTAGCTCATCTCAAGGCAAAGTACCCTCACTTACGCTTGACATCGTCAGAGCCTGACATGCTCCAGACGAATAAACCAGCCACATCATGGCTGTCTTCTTTTTGGCAGGGAGCACTGTAATGCGCGAAACAGTGACATCCCCTGGTGCCAAGGACTTTTCCGATATCCATCTCTGTAAACTGGCTGGGTCAAGCCGAGGACATATGTCATCTACAAATATGTATATTAACCACGTTCCTGAAGATGTACTGGTACAAAATAGCTCCTCTACCAAATCAATCTTCAATTTACCTGTGGAACTGTGGGTATCAGGAAAAGCAGTACATGCCGAGGCCCTAGTGGATTCAGGGGCATATTCAATCTTTGTGAACAAGAAGTTCATTAGGGATCATCGATTGAATCTATATAAGCTGAAAACTCTGTATAACGTCTATAACGCAGACGGATCAATCAACAAAGATGGTCAAATCCTATACTATCTTCGAGCTTACTTAAAAGTCGGAGATCACGAATCGACTCATCATTGCCTTGTTACCAATCTAGGTGACAAGGATATGATCCTTGGGATGACATACTTACATATGCATAACCCAGAAATTGACTGGAAATCCAGTCAATGGAAGTTTACCAGGTGCCCTGAATCGTGTACCATTAACGGGTCGCATAAAAAATTTATCTCTAAAGTATCTCAAGAGGAGACAGAGGAACTTCTTGATGATGAAGGTGGCGATGAACCGCCCACTCCACACCAAGCAATGGAAGGAGGAGGTGATGAGAGCAAATTCATCGACTGGGTTAAACTAGGAGACCCAGAAGCCGTTGAAATAGCCCGTCTCATAATGGCAATTACAGACACGGGGAAGTGGACAGATGAAGAGGATGAAGAAACCGCGAATTATAAGGATTGGTCAAAACATGTCCCAAAGCATTTACACGCATATGGAGACGTATTCTCTAAAAAGGCTAGTGAGCGTATGCCCACACCTAAAGCCTACGACCATTCTATAGAATTCGAAAAAGGTGCACCTCTTCCAAGACCTGCAAAGGGCTACCCAATGAGCCCTGCTGAGTGAAACTCACTCGATCAATGGATCAATGAGCAATTGGCAAAAGGTTACATTCGTAAATCAAAGAGTCCAGTAGCCGCTTCTGTCTTCTTCGTAAAAAAGAAGGATGGAACTTTACGACTGGTGCAGGATTATCATAAACTCAATGAAATCACCACAAAGAACTGTTTCCCTATCCCTCGAATTTCTGACCTAATCGATCAATTATCGAAGGCCTCCATATTCACTAAGCTGGATCTGCGATGGGGGTATAATAATGTTCGCATAAAGGAAGGAGACGAATGAAAAACTGCCTTTACCACACATTGTGGTCTTTTTGAGGCAAATGTTATGTTCTTTGGGTTCTGCAATGCACCAGCCACGTTCCAGGCGATGATGAACGAGATCTTAAAGGATTTAATCCTTGAAGGCCATGTTGTGGTCTATCTCGATGATATACTCATCTTCACAGATGATATAGCAACTCGTCGCTGACTAACTAAGGAAGTGCTCAAGTGTCTCCAGGATAATGATTTGTTCACCAAGCCAGAAAAGTGCTTTTTTGAACAGTCATTTATTGAATATCTCGGGATGATTATCTCTAAAGGCTCTGTAACGATGGACCAATCCAAAGTCAAAGCCGTATTAGAATGGCCAGTACCGACAAAAGTCAAACAGGTACAAGCATTTCTAGGCTTCGCCAATTTTTATCGGCGCTTCATTAAAGACTTTGTGAAAATTGCCAAACCCCTTAACACGCTGACAAAGAAGTCCCAGGAATGGATTTGGAGTGATGCAGCTCAAACTGCCTATGAATCACTCAAGGAAGCCTTCGTAACAGCTCCAATCCTTAAAATTCCCGAGGACAACAAGCCCTTTAGGCTCGAAACAGATTCGTCCGATTTCGCCACTGGTGCTGTTCTGGAACAA